CACACACACATACACGCACACACGTTGTAATAGCCAGGGAAATGTGTTCAGACTAATATTAGATCGGGAGAGTAGAGAAGGGTCACGCATCTTTCACGTCTTCATTTACCAAAACCAAGAACAGGTCTTCAATATCTCACCATCTCACACTGTCTCTCTTTCTGTCTTCTGTTCATAGACCAAGAGCGAGAGATGCTGTGGTAAGACATTCATCTTTTTTGTTGTGTGTATGTTTGACAGAGAATGTATATACAGATTAGATGAGGCATAATGAATGTGCATTTTGACTCATTGTTGTTAACCTGTTATTTAACATGTTACATGTAAAATATCTTTGTACACTGTTAAAAGTAGTGTGCATGTATCCATGAGTTAGATTATAAATCATGTGTAACTTGCACACTATTAAACTAGGGCTACACAATATGATACAAAAATCACAATTATCTTTTAGTTATTGCGATTGCTATATGGTTCATATTTAGTGGTAATTGATCGTTTTTACATCACAGTTCATTTTTATTGAAAAAAACAAACCTATTAAAATCATGATGGCGTGACATTTATTGAGGTCTGTACCAAACAAACATGTTTTCTTACATCTCAAGAGCAAGATTTTTAGGCCAGGCAATCTCTGCTGCACTACAGTACTTCATTACAAAGCTGTTTTGTCACACATTTTACTTTTATCAAACAAACTGCAGCTTCTGCGATTGGGATATTGCACTTGGCCATATTGTGATTTCAGTAATATTTAGATTAATTGTGCAGCCCTATACTAAACTGTGTAGTGTATGTATATATGCTAATCAGTCTCTATCTACATATATTTATTTATTTATGTGTGTGTGTGTGTGTGTGTGTGTGTGTGTACAGTGTGCATCTATGGATGTTCTGAGGCCTCCATTTGAAGAAGGTGGTGCACAGCCACCATGTACCTCCGGTGAGTGACAGAGTGCGTGTATTCATGTCAGTGTGTTGTTTTTTTGGGGACCATTAACTACAAGCCACTTCTACTTTACATTAGGGCCAACCAAACTGGAAGATTTCATACCACATTGAAAAACATGCAACACTATGGTTCTTACTAGGTTTTTCTTAAGCTTTCAACTGAAACCAGAATGACCTTTCAGCTGGATCTCCTGATCAATCAACAATGAAGTCTCATGCTCATGATAAAAAAAGTTTTGTGAAGTGGTTGGTTATAATGTAATTCATCTGTGATTTGTAGTTATTAGGTTAAGGCATGCAAACCCAACAATATGTTGCCAAAAGGGGAGTAGAAGCAGTGTAAGGTGTGAAATGCAGTGTGTGTTACTGTTAAGGATAGAGACAGGACATATCCCTTTTCGACCATGTGATTATTAGTTTTACTTCCACTGTTGCTATTCACACACACACACACACACACACACACACACACACACACACACACACAGAGAGAGAGAGACTGCAATGATTTTGTTAATAATAATAATAATACATTTAATTTATAGAGTGTTTTTTAAGAAACTCAAAGAGCCTTCATATAAGTTAAAAAGAAAAAGGTAATAAAAACAACACACTAAGAAATTAAAGCTATTTCTACAACACTCAACAATGAGTTAATCATTAAAAGCAGTATAAGATTAAGAAAACGTGTAATGTACCTGTTGGTAATGGTTCATAGGCGGTGCTGCTTAAGGGTCAATGCAATCAACAATCTTACTAAAAGACAAAACAAACATGTTCTGTCAGCACTCTGCTTTTACACACTTCTGTATGCTATGGGATTATTTTTTATGAGAGATTGGTGTGTTTTTTTTCCAGTTGGTAGTTTATCTTTTAAGAAATTCTCATACTGCCACTTCATAAACAAGATTCAGGGAATGAAGGAATGAGAAACCATGCAAGTAGCTTCCATTGCATTGTACACAGTGAGTGTAACTGTGTTAAAGGTCCAGTGTGTAACATTAAGGAGGATCTATTGACAGAAATGGAATATATTATTCATAGGTATGTTTTCATTAGTGTATAATCGCCTGAATTGTTATGTTTTTGTTACCTCAGAATAAGCTGTTTTTATCTACAGATCCAAACAGTTGTTGAACTGCCATGCTTCCATAGCAGCTAAAGGGTTAAACCAAATACTGGCTCTAGAAGGGACTGTTCGCTTGCTTTATAGTCACCGTAGTTTCTCCCCCCACGGTTGGAAAGGGGGAAGTGAAAGGAGTGAGTTGCAATCTGCAACTACGCTGCTAGATGCCACTGAATCCTACACATTGGACCTTTACGAGGCTTCATGTCTTGACTATTGAGAATGTTGGGTTTCTATTTGAGAGTAGGTCTCCCTGTCTATAGTAAATAAGTCACTGTCACATGTAGAGCTTGTAGATTTGTTATGATTTATTATGATATATCCCACTCTCCTGCTTTGTCATCCAGCCCGACAGGTTGACAGAGGGATGGAGCACAAAGAGAGAGGCGAAGACTCCTCCTGTTCGCAGAGCGGCCATCCAGTCATACCCTCCATTAAATTGGTCGATGGGCTCAATTCCCCTGAGATCTCAAAGAAGGACAGGAAAGACCCAGACAGGGAATTAGAGGGGAGGGACGGTTTCCATGAATCTCAGCTGACTGACAAACAGGGCAGAGATGGAGAGGGAGGAGAGGCAGAAGGAGGGGTAGGATACGCCACTTCAATCATGGGAAATGAACTGCACCCCTCCACAGCCGGAGAAATGGATCAGTCCAAGCCCGCAGAGCAGCAGGGAGGAGATTTAGGTCTAGCACAGGAAAAGGAGGCAAAAAGGGAAGAAGAGGAGAGGGACGTGGAGGAAGCGGCCGATGCTTTGGAGATGGAAGATGAGGGAGAGGATGAAGAGGAGGAGAAGCAGAAGGTTAGAGACTCTCCTTTTTGTCAGAAAGCTCTCCCAGTGGAGACTCTGGTCAGCGGGGCAGAAGTGGAGGAACAACAGCTGCACCAGGAAGCCTCTGCTGGGGAGGAGCTACATGAGGAGACTCAGGTATACGTAAAAACAAACATAATTTGTTGGCTAGTTATTGTACTCTGAATTTAGCTTTAAAGATATTTTTGACAAATATACTTTTAAAACGCAACAAAGTAATATTAGATAAATACAGTCATGTCTGTCATTTATGTTATCTGTGAGTTCCTAGTTTGTGTATTTTGGCAGTAATTCTACACTCTCTAAAATGACTTAACTTACTTTAAGTTGTGTCATCAGGATCAGTATCATATTGCAGCTCATGCTAACTACTCACTTCCTCTGTTTAGCTTAACAAACCAACGTTGCAATTGCTGGAAATATAAAACGGATCACTTTCTCAATTCCAAATAATTTTTTATCTGGAACAACCTGCCCTTTACTGGGTGGTTTGACCAGCAAATGAAACAGCTGTCACTATCTCGCATATGTTTTAATTGCTTCAGTCAGAATTGACTGTTGATTACTCTCTCCATTAGTATATATATTTATATATAAGTTGTAACTGCATTCCACTATCACTGCAGGAGAATGCTAAAACCTGCCTGCACCAGGAGGCCTGCCTTCCCCAAGAGGCTCATTTGAAGCAGCAGGAGCAGGGTGAGGAGGAGGAAGAGGAAGAGGAGTATGAGTATGAATTGGAACAGGCTGACATCATCAGAGAAGCGGCCTCACTGGACTACATGGCTAAACTCATCACTGTAGAAGAGGTGTGTACTTCTTTGTGTTTTCTTTGGATGAATAAGGGAGAGGGAGAGAGATAATAACAGTCGACCTCAACAGAAACACACTGGTAGAACCACAAACATGTTGACTTTAAACTGGCAATCTGATGAACGTTTTAATGTTTCTGTCCGTCTGTATCAGCCCATCTTTATAATGGAGACAGTCCCCTGAGCAGCCCTAATGGTATTTCCGACATGTAGCCATTACCATGATACCAGGCTAGGGATTTGTTTTTCCTATGTGAAAGCCTATTTGACATTGCATTTTTCTGTATGGAGAGAAGTAGACTTTGAGGTGAAAGGTGAAGGGAGAACTGAAAATGTCATTGAGTTGTCACCTAGCAGGATTACTGTATTATTATTCAGATATAATTATTTCAGAATAAATGGATTCCTGAATATGGTTTCATAGTTGTGTCTGGTGAGTTGAAAAAAAAGCTTCTGTATTAGATTCTTTCAGCAAAAATTGTCATTACTTGGCTTTAAGCTCAAGTGCTGGTTACTGACTTATTTTTGTAGATACATCTCTGTGAAAGAGAAGAATAGGGAGTGAAGGAGAGGTAGCTGCAGAGAGTTGGATGGAGCAGACACAGAAAGAACTGACGTACAATGGTAACCAGAAGACTGGCCTGCTTTTATCAGACAGTGCATGATGTAGGGCAGCCAGGGAGGTGTTGTGTATGCTGCTCTAGTACTTGGAAGTTGGGGGTAATTTTGGTTCCATGTTTATGCGATGCCTTGTGATGAGTCTAATCAAGGTCTAGAACTGAACATTTTCCTACTGTGAGCTTGTTTTTTAATAAATAAGGAATACATTATTAGCCGGCAACGCTTTCATAAAAATCGTCTTTCCAACAACTCACTATGAACTTGTTAACTTTGTGTAAACTACAGGCCAAAAGTTTGGAAGCAACTTCAAGTTTCTGTTTACAATGCCTTTCTTAAAAACCAGTAGACCATAACCAGACCATTGCTGAATAAATGTTAACAAAAGAAAAGAAGGGCTTAGTTTTAGGGTCGAGAAGATGTGCAAGAGTCACAACTTCAGTGCAAAAGTAAAAAAAACAAATCAGTTTGCATTATTCACTTTAGCTCTTTGGCTTTTGAGAGTTTTCATACAAAAAAAGAAGAGGAAGGCCCCCTCAGTCTCCAGACCTCTCCAATTGAGCTTGTGTGGGAAGAATTGGATCGATCAGTCAGAAAAGTGCGTCCTACGAATCAGCAGTCTCTCATTGATGAACTTAAGAAAGCTTGGAATGCAATTCCTGGCACATACCTTAAAAAACTTGTGGAATGAATGCCTTGTATATACCATGCTGTTGTTAAAGCCAGAGGAGGTTACTTTGAAGAAAGCAAAGTCTAAGCAAGAAAAACCCAAATACCTGATAATTATAGTAAAAATGTTTTCTGATAAGTGACTTTTTATATATTAATCATGTTTATTTTGTTGCAAAGTGAACCAATGAAACTATGATCTATTTTTGTACAAATTTGATCTTGCTTCCAAACTTTTGGCCTGTAGGTTATGTAGTGTTTATTTCATTACAGACTTAATAGGTGTGCTTTTAAAAATATTTGTACCAGACAGATTTGTAAAGAATTAGATTCATAGTACAAAGAAATTTTTTCAAGTTCATCATTATTATAATCTGCTTCCCATTTAAAGGTTTATAAACTACTACTAGGTTTATTCACCAATAAGGATCTGTGATAGGTCCATGTGTTATTACTTTCACATTTGTTATTCAGCTCCTCCTCGTAAGCAGTTTGACTGCAAATCACACCCTTTCAGATAACTTTGGACAGATTGGTTGAGAGGGAATAAAGTAATCATCTCACAAGTGTAAGGCAGCAGGTGAATGTTGTAGTATGACTACATGGTGTAATGATAAGCAGACGGATTGCTACATCACCATCACATCATTTACCACCTCTTGACCAAAGTTGATTTGCACTTGTAATACATACTTTGAACACCTTTGGATTGAGCCTGGCATGATCGTTCGGGGTCTAATGTGCATAACATCTGTCACAGAGAAGCAGTGCTTTGTACTGGACTGTGTGACTGTGAAATTGTTAGTGAGGTTTAAAGTTCAATACTGCTGTGTGTTGTACTGACACCTGGTGGACATGGCTGGTGAGGAACACCCTTTGTAAGACAAGTTCCTCTTCATACAGAATATTGTCAGTGTATGGTGATCAGATCAAACTGTATTTGGTGTAAATAAAATATAATAATTATATTAATATATGTGTCTGTGCTTCCTAACATTTCTTTGTTTTTGTATTCGCTTCTTAGATGTCTCCAGCCTCTGGCCTGGTCTCAATATTGAAGAAGAGGAGTGTTTGTGTGGACAACATGAGTGTATCTGGCAGCTCAGAGCCCCGACTGGACAAACTCCCTGCTAAAAGACGCGTCCGCTTCAGAGTTCCTGATGACAGCTATGAGCAAGGTGTGTTTTTGTGTTTAACTTAAACCAAATGTACAAATGCAATAACATTGTCAAAAATAGTTGATGAGTTCTAGCAACTTCTCTAGTCAATATTATTAATCTACTGTTCTGTAACTTCCCTCAACACCATGTATCTCTTTCATTGTAGATGTTGGCGGTGGGGACTCTTGCCTGCTTCTCTTCCTGCTTTGTCTGGTTACCGTAGTGATCAGTGTGGGTGGCACCGCCCTTTACTGTGCTCTGGGCGATGCCCACTCCTCTGTCTGTCAGGACTTCTCCCGAAATGCAGACTTCTACATTGGCCAGATACAGCGCGGGATATCCCACATCCAGCATTGGTTCACCCCCGGGTCATAGCAGCAAACAGTTTGTCAACCTTGCGGAGCCACTGGCCTTACTGTTTATCACTGTAGGTTCCAGCAGTGCCTGCTACTTCCTGAGACAATGTTTTCTGAGGTAATGGTGCCAGGCAGCTGCTACAGTTCCTGTTGATATGTGGAAGCAAGTGGCTATTGTGCTGCCTAATTGGCTAAATGATTATATCAGAAATGGCTGGCATGTGTAGACTTGCTCTACTGCATTTTTAATGCTCTTTGAATGCAGCCCCATTGTTGAATGATACTTAAGTTGTAGATCAGATGTCCCTTTACAACACTAGTTTGAAAGGGAAAGCAGAGCAGAGAGAGAAAGAGGAGAATGGACTTACTTCATACCAGAAGAGGAAAGACTGATTTACACCCCTCTCAACCCTGCCCACATTAAATAGGTTTTAAATTATCAAGCAAGGTTTAGAAATTGTTGTCCTATTGAACACACATTCATTGTCAGCCAGTGATACTTAATTTTCAAAAGACATTTGTCGATAAATCAACAATGGCTGGAAACAAACTTTTACTGAATCACAATGGACTCTGAGACTCAACTCCCTCAGTTAAAAATCAGAACAAAGTCATAACGGCTGCAACCCACTGAGATGTAAAAAAGTATATATAAAGTGTATAGTTTGTTAACTGGAGGGCGCAGAGATGCTCTCTCCACACACACACACTGCACAAATGGGATGTACCCCATTGGGCATTTTACAAACTGCTGCAACCACTAGTGTTGCTTTTATTGTTGACTTTTTAAAATTGCAAAGTGAAATTTTAAAATGAACAAACTATTCTGTGGTGTAATACTTGGAATGAAATTATTATGTCTTAATCAACCTTTGTATGAATGTTAGGAGGTTAATTTTAAAACGTTGCTTTCTGTCATCTGTAGGGTATTCATATATTGTCAGAAAAAAAAAAAAAGATTGAAAGGGTTATTTTAGCATTTATCAATATTGAGCTGCTAATGGACAACAGGCGCATCAGATATGTCCCATGGGGGAAATTATACAATCTCATCGCAAATCACAGCTGTCATCTTAAAGCAGCTACAAGGAACTTTTTTATTTTATATTCATTCTGGCGGGCCCTGTGGACAGTGTTTCCACCGCCTTGTGCTGTATGATTTTGAGGAGAATCAGACCTAATCCGACCCGGTGGCAGGCATTACAAATATCTATATAGAAACAGACATCCTTCACGCTGATGGTCTTTTTTGCTTATGCAGGTCATACAGAGGCATCAGTATTAAATTGAGACTTGTGACCAGTTAAAAACTCCTTTTAGTGTTTTAAGTTTTGCATTACATTTCCAATGAGTAAATGCTTAAGACCTGTACATCAGCTGCACAGCTGTACTTTATGTGTACTTCCCCCCCCCCCGCACACATTTGAAGTGTGTCCTGTTGCTGCCCTTTTCTGTATAACTACCAACAATGCATTGCAATGAGCTGACATGGCTTCCACTGGAAACTAACAGTTCAAACTATCAGTTTATGAGTTTCAATGAGCTAGATTTAGCTTTGTGTAGCATATGCAACATGTACAGCAACACAGTGCACCTCTGTATATATTGTCAGAAGAATGTTTAACATGTTGCACATACGACTGGTACGATGTTTTAGTATATTGCAATATTTCTACAGGCATTGTTGTGTTTCTATACTAAACGTTTTCAGGTACAGTGAACATTAGTTATGCACAGAGAACAGAACTCGAACAGAAAATACTGTTCTGTCCAATCTGGCTCGGTTTGGAATATTTCTGTAAAAAAAAAAACGGATAAATGAGAATTGTACAATTAATGTTTAAAACAATAATTCTTCAGTGTACTTTATCAACACAGGCCTTGATGTTGATGAGGTGATTTGAAGCACTGTGTCAGTCCAGCTCTGCCTGCCTGTGTGTTTGCTGTTTTTAGGGACTCTGGGCATCAGTGTGTGATTGTCATGTTTTCAAATAATTTTTTGCAACTCGGAATGGTTTTTGCCTTCTTCAAGACTCGTCTACTTAACATTTGCCATTTTTGTAAAGCATATGTTTAATGTGTTTTGTAAAAAGGCTTACACTTTGTCCATGAAAGCCATCTCAGGCCTTTATTGTTACATCCGTGCTTAACTCTTATTTCTAATCATTTTAAAGCAAATATTAGTCTTACTGTTGTCATTTTACTAATTAATCTTACTGTTTGCCTACTCAGCCACCTCTGCCTCCATACTTGTGTCATTTTAACATACTGCAATGTTTGGTGTTCTGTTAAAATATTTTTTCTTTCGTTTGCTGTAGTAGTGGATGCCATAAAAAATATCCTAGAAAAACCACATATCTCACAAAGTTCTTCACTGTCAGGAAGAAAACAAATCTATCAAAGAGAACAGATTCAACTGTCTTACCTATGCATTTGTAACAGTTTCAGATAAAAGCGTATTATCTTTATCTCATGGTGTAGCTCACAAAAACCTGAAAATTAGTTTGAGATGTGAGGTTTTTCCAGGATGTATGAATTGGAGATTGAATCTTGTTTTTATTTGCACATGTTGTCTGGCTGGTTCAGATGACTATCACTCAGAAAACCTCTTATTTAATCTTCTAGACAGTTTTAATTATTTATAATATGGGGGGTGGAAAAACAGAGATGCATCTGTTTGTTTGTTTTCCTTGCTTGTTTATTGTAATCATACAGATAGATAGATGTTTCATGTCTTAAATTGCCATTTGTTCTTAAGGAGGCTTTGACAGAGAATTTCTTATTTTATAATCTAACTGAATACCATCATCTGGGTCATTATTATATGTGGTTTATTTTCATTCATTTTCCCTCATCCGTTCCTGAAGAAGAGTTGAAACTGGAGAGTTTGTGCTTCTGTTGTCATTATCACCTCCTTCACACATAAGATTGTTAAACGGTTGATGTTTTTTCCATCTGAAAGCTGAAAACTATCTATTGTAATTTAGATCTTCATACGAATGTTCATTTGTTTTAGCCAGTTGGTTTTTAACAGAAATGAATGGATGAAAAGTCATTATTTTTTGTGTGAATCGCTGCTTGATGAAAGGTGTTTTACAACTTGTTTGATGAACTCTTTCACATTGTTCTTACAGATTGTAATAAGAAGATGAGGTTTTTATTTTTTCTTGTCAAAAAACACCTCTTCCCTGGTATGTCTCCTCTTAAAGCCGTTGAGAAAAAGTTGTTTGTGTGCCTCCATTCTGTACTATCTGCAGCAATACTGACCCGTATTCTTGTTCACACAGTTAGAAGTTAATGAGCCCAACTTTGAAGCTGATGAGGAAACGTACCCAGTTTTAGTGTGAAGAACTCAAAAATGTAGTCACCTACATGCTTAAACTAATTTATTCTGCTAGTTTAGATCTTCATTAGAATGTAATGTTCGTATATATATACTTCCTTTTTTAATAGGCTCTAGGTCTTGTGTAGTGATGCATAAGGAGGCTCCATCAAATACTGCAAACCTAACCTTTAACTAGAAGGATAATTGTTGCCACATGTCTTTGGATTGACTATGAGATGACAAACATTGGTTCGGATGTGGAAGAACAGACTAGTCCTTAGAAGCAGAAATGCATTTCAGTGGGTCATGTACATAGACAGTGGCTCATTCCCCGCTTAGCAATTTAAGGGTTACTGAGATTTTCTTGACTGAATGTTTAATTGAAGTAACAGGACATGTAGTCATCCAAAGTGAAAGCTCTGAGGAAAGCAACAAATAATCCCATTGTACTGAATATGATGTGCAGTGTGACATTTCTCAGACAATTCACTCCAATCTGGGCTAAAACAATACTGACTTTAAACCTGGGAGAGCAACTGGGGGCTTCCACATATTGGCAGAGAGGGGACTGAGGAAAATTAGCGACATATACAGAGCGGGAAAGCTTGTGTCATTTCAGGAGAAAAATTCGACATTCAAAGAAAACAGTTCTTCAAGTACCTGCAATTACACATCTTTATTTATGCAAATCAGAATCAAAACTATGGCATTCCAGTCCTCTCCTCACTGGAGGAACAGGTCACCAAGGACTGTTATAGTAAAGGCTGGATTTCTTCTTTCTATGATTTCTTAATTTCTGGTTCCCAAGTGTCTTCAGAGGGAAAGGTAGAAGCATGGAGGAGGACGATTTGAATGAGGAAATAACGTTGGAGGATTGGAACATGATTTGTGACGATATATATATTGCAATATAATTGGTTAATGCGTACATATATGTGACACCAGTAAAATTACACCACTTTGACAACAATATACCAGACACATGTACTAAGTGTAACGGATATAGAGGAATCCTTTATATTTGGGAATGTAGTAAAATAATGGATTTTTGGAAAGAAGTAAAACACGTGATGGACAGGATCACTTCTGTAAGGGCCCCTCTTGATCCTAAGATTTACATTTTGAATTTGTACACTTCAAACTAAGGAAGAAGGAATAAACATTTACAGATATGTGTATCCTGCAAGACAAACAGCTTATTGCTCTTTACTGGAAGAAAACAAATGGCATTATGTATGGTGTTAAAGAAGATATCTTACATATTCCTCAGAAGTGCAAGCGTTAGAGGTACCTTACCATAAGGAAACCTATTTTCATAAAAGTGATACACGCAAGCATCGCAAGACAAGAATGGCAATAAGAGTACTAGAGTGTACACCTTTTATTTAAATGTATGTTTTATTTATCTTTAGTTTTTTGTACTGCTACTTTGTTCAGCTTGTTAGACATTATTGTCAGTTTTATGTCCTGTTTTTGTGCTATTGGGAAGGGTCTTGGAAAGTGTGGGGTGGGAGACATTGTTTGTCCTTGTCATTTGTACTGATAAAATAAAACTAATAAACATTTAAAAATTATGGGACATTGTCTTTATTGCCTTTTGGTTTTGAATGTAACAGCACACATGCATCCTAGTGAGTGCTGTCAACTAAATCAAAGAGTCAACTTAAAATGATAACATGATGATGAAAACATTTGCAGAGGATTTTATAATGTTTGATTTATGTATGTGGAATTTGACCAGCATGTTATCAAATTAATTATATATTTTTTTGGTATAGGTGGAATCAGAGTAATGGAAAATATGTGCTCTGTCATATATCAACTAAATATTCGTGTAAATCTTTCCACATGTTGAATTCACAATTATACAGTAGCCTATATATACGGTATGTGACTCTTCTGTCTTACCAAATGCACAAATAGTCCACAAAGAACTTTTTTTTTTATTAGAGATGATTTCTTAACATCTTATTAATGCATTTTTAATACTAACTTCTTAATTATTTATTCTCACCGACCACAATGGACGGGAAGGGTGTGTACGTATATGTGACGTCATGACGCACGCTGTCTGCGCGTATGTTACGGATGTAAACACTGGTCGGTTCACGTGGAGGGAAAACACAACTATGGCACCGAGGCTGGAGCGTTTTGTCAGCCCGGGAAAAGGCAACGGTGTCCGGGCGACAGCCGGGATCAAGAGGGGAGAGCTGGTGTACTCTGCAGAGCCGCTGGCGGCCTGTGTGTCCAACAAAGTGGCCAGAGATGTCTGCCACCACTGCTTCACACGGTGAGACAGTATCCAAGATACCAAAGCACCCTGTCCCGTAGTTTAATGTTATTGGGTAATTGCTATCAGTGGTTAGGCTGCAGGGGGTCGGGGGTTTACAGGCAGTCTGGTCAATGAGGACCAATGATAAGGACTGTTTCTGGCTCATGTAGCGCCACAAGTCGTTTGATATGTTCAGTTTGTATCTGTAGTGTACTCTTTACATACTGTTTATGGTATATAATGTTCGTGTTGCTGACTTGTGTGTATGCGTGCAGTTGAGAGCTTTAGGCTTCTTATTGTCAGCTATTTAAAATGCACTTTAGTAGATGCAACTAAGTTCTTCGACCGACCACCAGATGGCGCCATTGCACTGTCGTGGTTTCAGAGGTGACAAAGAGAGCACAGGTGTCACTTCAGGTGAGGAGGCGAGGGCCAGATGTATATTTGTTTAGTTGTTTGCTAATTTTACTATTTATTATTTCGCAGTTTTCTCTAGTTCTGTTACTCATAAGCTTATTTGTAAACCTAATTTCAAATCATTTAAGAGTGATTCATTTTATCATTCTTTTTATTTACAGTCACCATAATTTCCCTGTTTATCTTTTCATTTGATCCAGACTTGTAAAGCACTTTGTAAAGTCTGTTTCAGTATAAACTTAAGAGTAATCATCCTGATGTTTAATAATGTAGATTGAGATACATATTGAGATGAAGGTTTACAGCTCTGTGTATGAATTAGTATGAAGAGCAGGTGCTCTGATGCTGTTGGAGACCCTCGCTGATGCAACACAATCACAATCAGATTATTAAATCGTGAATCTATACAGAGTTTTCTGCATCTGGCCCCAGGTGTGCAGAAAAGTCATCTGTAGAGCTGACAAAATAATATCAATGCTAAAACAGTGTGTCTTTGTTTGACAATCAATAGACCGTACCATGAACAGTTTCTTCTGCACAGACAGGGATAGCAGACCTATTGTGGTAAAAAGCCCTTAGTGAATCTGAATGTCATCAATATTAAAGTGGAGATGTGGTGGTCAATAGGTGCTGCTCTGTCTATGTGATGTTTATGTAGAAGGTCTGGGTGCAAGGCCAAAACTACCAAGTTCACTGTGTGGCTGTTCACTGATTTTGGTGATATGCTTAATTGTAATAGTGTTTGGGTGTATGGATTAATATTTAACTACTCACTGATGTAGGCCTAAAGGCAGGTCACACACAAGGTCTGCTTCATTTTTTCCACTAATATTGTACTTACATGGTGCATAATCTTAAATCCATTTGTGTCTATCAGATCAAAACACAGCAAACCTGAGGCCATGTAATGATTACAGTACACAATGCATAGAGAGGGGGATTCACACTGGCTTAATAGGGGCCCATAAGCACATTTCTGTGTCGAGGGGCCTATAGCAGATAATACATACTGTGTAAAGATGAAATTTGTCTGTCGTAAGAGATTTGGCCATACTTTTTAAATCATGCTATTGTGCTATTTCTTTCATATCTCCGGTTGTATTAAGTCATTGCACGCTTGATACAGTTTTGCAAATCAGCATCTGAGGTATCATTATGGAATATGAATTAATTAATAATATGATTATTGGTATTTATTTTGTTGGATAACCCAGACCTTCTTGTCTGTGTGTTTGATCTATGAACAGTTTCTGGGGTTCTTGGGGATTCCTGGTTAGTGGAACAACTGACCGCTCCAGCGCTCCAGACAGAGAGCACCTAGCCATCAGTGGGATTTAAGCTCTGTACTTGAAGAAAGGAAATAATTACACAAA